CTGCCTATAAGCAATATTTTGTCGTTTCTAATTTGGCCTTTGCAGGCCAGAAGCATGGCCATTTTGCATCGCATCCCCATCACAAAACTGCCATCTCGTTAGGGCCTTCCTAAAACACAGTGCTGATGTAGCTACTGCTCTGTCAGATTGGGTGTCCCAGTGACTCCTGGCTGCTGCGGATGCTTTCTGCCCAGGTTTGGAGGAGGGTTGTGTTTCTCCCAAGTGTGTAGAATAGAGAATGTTCTCTCATGATGGCATCGTGTGAGTGACCCTAAATTCCACCATAGTTCATCTCGTTATTTGTGAATTGACATAGATGCAATGCAGCGTTGCTGTGTCTTTGCCTTTACTTCAGGTGAGATTATTGTAATGAACTGTTAAAATTTTTTGCTTGAAATTTACCTGTAAGGTCCAACTGGTGTAAAGAATATTTGTCTGCCTGATAGTGGGATAAGCCATTAATTTGTGCTCTCGTTGCACCGAATTTCGATTCATTTCAGGGTACAGTAGGGATATTTGGAATTATTATATGAGAGTAAGTTCAAATGTGCAATATTTGAAGTTGGCTGGGAGATTCTTAGAGTTGACTCCCTATTGTAAGGATTAAATAGTTGAGTGCTCCTGTCATTTAAAGTATGTACCCTTTCTGATGACCAAGGAAGCTCTATCAGATAGATTGTAAGGGTCACTTTAAAATGTGATAGCTTATTTCTGGTTTTGAGTGTTGTAGCTGGGCTGCCAGCATTTCATGATGATTGTCACAGTAGATCTAATTGTGTTTATGCCTCTCATTATGATTGGCAAATATAATTTATTGGAGTTAATTGTTAGAGCATGACTGTTATGCCTCTCCAGTACATCAGAAGGGACATTATTATAAATAGACGATATTCATGGAGGTGGGAAGATTGCTAAGCTATTACTGTGCTACTTTGAAGATAACACAACGTCATTGTTCTCAGCTCCCTATTTTAACTACCAGTGACATTTGTGTTACTATCCCCACATGACATTTAGGGTTCTTTTCTTGCTTTGGTCAAAAGTCTGAGAGAAAATTCATGTTGAGTGTCTTGCCGGGAAAGAATCTTTACAGGTACAGAATTTGGTTTTTGAGAGATGTTGCTAAATAGAGATGAAAAACAAAGCTGCAGCAGTAGATAAAGTCTTTGTCATATAGTAAGAGAAGCTGCTATTATTTAGGTAATTGCAACTGTCTTATGTGTAGTAAAAACTTAGAATACAAGGAAGATTTCAAGCAAAACGCAGGCTTTTCCAGAAGCTGAAGAAGTACTCTAAGGGACAGGAGATCAGGACATCTTTGGCAATCTCTGTGGAATTTTTTCCATCCATTCTTGACTGGAGAGGTAGAGACACAACATATTGGTTCATCAAACATGCAGTGTTTCCTTGAACTTTTCTGCTATATCCAAGTTAAGAAAAATAAATACTGAAATACTTTTTAATTGATGGGAAAGGTATCTCTCCGTCTTCGGATTCGGGTGGAAACTATTTGTTCATAGGAACATAGTTACCTGCAATTATTGCCCTGGGTATGTTTCACAATAGAAGATACCCTGAGGGTCACTCTGCTCTGGCAAAGGGTTGTTTCAAAAAGTATAGCAGGAAATCTAGTTCACAGAGATGTAATCTATACTGGCAGAAAAGTGCTTCCAGCAGTGTAGCAAATACTCCTTCCCCAGACAAAATTATGATACACTGGCAAAAAGACAGATTTTACTGGTTATAAATTGTCTTGAACAAGGGTTTTTAGCAGCCTGGAATGGTCTTAATATGATACATTAACTGTTATAGTTACACTGACTGAAGTGTGGGGCCTGGTTTGAAATTGCAGGAAAGCAATCCAAACTCATCATCAGAACAGTATGACAAATTATCTCCGATATGTTTATTCTAGTTGTCATTTGGACTTAAATTAGGGCTAGGCTGTTGACGATCTACTGAATCACCGAGACAACGGTATTCGGTCAATTTGCACAATACCTCTGTGTAACGAAGTTGCCGAAAATGTAATCCTGAATGTGCCAAGAACCATCAGAAGTTCTGTCTTCAAGAATGTGGTCCTAATTGAGACAGCAGCTGGGCCACAGTGCTTTTATCGACAAGCAGGAAAGCACGCACCAGTGCTTTCCATACCAGCACGCCGTGCACGTCGCGCAGCGTTCTCTGCTGTAAAAGGCTGATTGGCATGTACATGGTCAAAATTGGAGGTAACTACAGAACAGAGGGAGGTGGTCTCTAATAGATCCAAAACACGGTCAACCTCCTCCAGTAGTGAGGGTCATATATAGATTTTCTGATGACCACTTAAGATGTTGCTTCATTTATAAAATGACGGTAGTAGTCACCTATTGACTTGGAACTGAAAGACTTTGAGCTGAATGGAGACTAGCTGGGATGCTTTGCTCTCTCTTGGACATTTTTCAGTATTATCATGGTACCTAATTTATTCAGTTGCTGTTCTAAGATAACAAAAATGAATCTTTTCACACCTCTTGAAAGAGGCCGTTCACGATAGGAAACTCTCTCTAGCCAGATCAGACAGGCTGTGTTTTCAGGCAAACGGAATGCTTGTGCCAGCATAATAGATAAAATGCTGGTAGTGTAATTTTAAGAAACTCTCTAATAAGAACATTTTTGGTACCTCTTGTTGATATTTAAGTTTCTGTTGGTTATCTATCTTCTAAAATGTACTTTGAATGGACTAGGTATCTAATCTGTATTTGGTTCACGGAGTGTGCATGACCTTTAAAAGGGAAACCTGTATGAGTTACAATCTTAACTTTCTTTATAGACTTGTACAAATCACCCAACTTTTGTAATGTCTCGGTGAAGTCAGCCTGTGCCAAGATCGGAGCAGGAAAATGTGATTGCATTTCAAGGATGATTTTGTTATTACAATATTTAGTTTTGTTTCATTTGGGAATGAAGACAGTTCCTACATCACTTGTGAAAGTGGATGCAGTCCATCTGTCTTGGAGAGGTTTGCCCTGGAAACTACTGCCAATCAGGCAGAGCGCTGAGGAGCTGGGAGCATGAGTTACCAGAGGATTTTTTTCTGGGAAAATTACCTTTCCAGAACTCCTGGGTTTGTGACGAGGATACCATAGCATTAGTTGGATTATTGAATTATTAAAAAAAAAAAAAATGTTTTACAGATAGTAATCAAAATTTTAATATGCTACAATACGGAGGCCAGTCTCTGAAGGAAACTCTGTTTTCCAGAGCTTTAATAACTTGAAGTAAGTGGAAAAACAGGAGCTTCTGCTAATATAGACACCTCAGTACATCTTAATGCCTGTCTCGGGCACTCCAGTTTGAGCAAATTGATGACTACGTAAGATTAAAGTCTGAGCTGAAATTACTTACATGTAGGAAATTAATGGCACAGTAAGATTACCATGTGATGCAGCAGGCGTTCTTACCTGTTTTTTATTTCTTACATACATGGACCGGAGTCTTGTAAGAAAGTATCTCCCCAGGCTGGGATCGCAGGAAGCAGCGGAGGTGAGAGGCAGGTGGTGCTGCCTGCACGGGCAACAAACCGGGGGCAAAATGCTCTCGTTAGCGTTGCCTTCGTTTCCCGAGCATGCCAGGGACGTGCACGGCTAGCAATTCCTGCCAGCCTGAGGAGGAGCAACGCACCAGTCTGCCACGTTTTTACACGTCTTGAAACTAATCGCCTTTTCATGTATTTTCTTATAACTCTAATTTTCTGCTTACCTGCAGCTGAAGTTCAGAGTGAAATTGAACGGATTTTTGAATTAGCAAGGACGCTGCAGTTGGTAGTGCTTGATGCTGATACCATTAACCACCCAGCTCAACTAAGCAAAACCTCTCTGGCTCCAATTATAGTATACGTAAAGATTTCTTCTCCTAAGGTAAATATTTTACTGATATTCATGCTGTTCGAGACACTTCTCCCCCCCTTCCTTTTTTTTTTTGTCTCAGATGCAGATAACATGTCCTCATTAAGGTTCAGAGCTAAATATTGTTATTGCTTCCCCTTGGATGGTGAAATATTATTAATCAAGAAGGTATTTTTGTGTTTTTCGTGTTACCAAACCCATTTTGGAAAAAATGCTGTGGCTCCAGTGGTTTTTTAAATTTGGATTGCACTTGTAGTATCAATCACATAAGTAAATGCTAAATCAAAATAATACAGAAACGAAAGAAAGATTTTCACATAATGAATATCAGACTGATTGGTAAACTGTGACATCTCCTGGTAATGTACTCTTTCATTCTGTGAAAAAACCTGCACAGACCTTGTGAAGAGGCGTTTGAAAGAGAGGAACAAATTATGGGAAGAGAACTCAGGAAAGCAATTAAAGAATTTCAACTTAGAAACAAACAAAACCAGAAGCAGCAGAGGAAAATAGGAGGGGAACTTTTTAGTGCTCCTAACAGGAAAGGAGATGTTGGGAATTAAATGAAAATTAGCTTGTTCTGGATGTAAACAGCACGGGAAATTCTCCTGAAGCCAGCACATGAAGAATTTGATCTGCTCAAGTGGAGAGTTAAAAATCTAAACGTTTTAAGTGGTTATATATGCACATTAAGTCCAAACCTGCTCACTTTTATTAATGTCTTATTTTTCACAGGTTTTACAGAGGTTAATAAAATCTCGAGGGAAATCTCAGGCCAAACACCTTAATGTTCAGATGGTGGCAGCTGATAAACTGGCACAGTGTCCTCCTGTGAGTTACTGTTAATTTATGTCTCATCTTTGAAAGGTGCCTTTCTTTTCAAGCAGGAGGTTGATTATGTAATTTATGGGAATGTTTGCCCTCTCCTGGCCATATTTCACTACTGCTTTTTTGCAGAACTCTTCCTGAGGTCTCTGGGCTCTGCACAAGGGTGCAGGAGAAAACAGTCCTAGCCACACGCAGTTATTAGGATGTGTGCTGAATACAGTCACCACTTGAACAAGCTGAGCATTTGCTTTACTTGATAATTCTTTTGGGGTTACCGGTTTAAAAAACTAACCCTCTTAGTGACTGTGTTTTATCTCTGGCAGTTTAGGGTTGGGCTGGTGGTTTGGGTAGCTCCCCTTGGGCATACGTCACCACAGCCCGTCACTGCTGGCGTTCTCGGACACGGTTTTGGCAGAGCTGCGGGGTGGTGCGTGGCAGTACTGCAGAGAGCTCTGCAGTTCTGTTGGTGTGCACTGAAGCAAATTCTTTCAACTTCCACCTATAGAGTGGAGAAGATGAGACCCCAGCTGTGTTTTGAGCATGGCAAGCATTACTACTTGCGTAGTCAACTGTCAAGAGTGTGAGTAAGACACCAGAAGACGAAGGTGCAGTTCAGTTGCAGATACAGGCATTTGCTGTAGTTACAGAGCTGAGTGAGGGGGATGTTTTCATCATTTAAGTTCGAGCCTGTCAGTTAAGAGGCTAGTCTCCTCAGGTCCCCAAGAGGTCAATGAAGAATGCTGTGTAGGCTCTCAAAGCTGCCTTCAGGAAGAGTTCTGTCTCCCTGACCAGGGAGGGACCAGAGGCAACTTGCCTCCTAACTTTAGATGCCTAAAATTAGACTGTGTGACTCATCTCTTGCCTAATATTTGTACGACATTTGAGAACTGGATGATCTGTATTACTTGTGTTTCTTAACTGTTATTAGTTATTGGTCTTAGTTTGTCTTAGTTTTCTCAGTTATTCTAGATATGGGGAGTGAATCCCTTTTCTTGCCATTCCATTTTGTTCCAATAGCTAAAACCTTCAATAGTTAACCTACCTTTCTGGATATTTGAGTTTTAAGATTTATGCAAACTACCTCTTCCTATCTTCATTGACTATCATTAGTGTATTACTAAATGGAAGTCATGAGGACTTGCTTTGGCAAGCGTAACACTAGTGCTAGTTATGATTGCTGTCTTTTGTATCAATTGCATCCCCCTACAAAAATGCAAAAAAGGTGAAATATCTTAACAGAAGTATTAGAAATGTGGTTCATTTTTGGTGAATGTCTCTAGCTGATCTCCCTTTAGCTGATGGTTATTCTCACTAAAACCTTTCCTTTATCAGGAAATGTTCGATGTAATTCTTGATGAGAACCAGCTTGAAGATGCTTGTGAGCACCTTGCTGACTATCTGGAAGCCTACTGGAAGGCCACACATCCACCTAGCAGCAATCCTCCTAACCAGCTTCTCACTCGCACACTTGCAACAGCCACTCTTCCTATTAGCGTAGGTCCAAATATTAATTTACAGGTACAGTTTTTATGCCATTTCTTCTTTTTTTTTCTATAAACTTCTTCCCCTTCCAAAGCACAGTGGTAGTCTGATACTGGAATATGCTGAATATGTCTTACTGTTGCTGATAGAGTAAGAGCTTTTTCAGTAGACATTCACCCATTTTCGGTATAAAAGGCAAATACAGGCACAATATTGTTATTGCTATTCTGTTCACAGTAGCATGTGTTTACATATTGACTAGGGGCTGGTTTTGATTGCAAGGACTAAGCCAGCCTGACTGAAAACATACAGAGATGTGAAGTGCGATACTTGAGATTTCATTGTGCCCAGGACGCCACTGTGCCAGTAATATGTGTACCAGCCACAAGCATTTTTATGGCGGGCCATATGTAATCCAATCAGAGGAATAAAAGTGGGCTAATCCTGTGCACGTTACAGCCTCTGGTAACTGTCTGACTGATGGGCACCCTACCGCTAATAGGCAAGTCCCAGCCCTAGAGGCCCTGCAGGACAAATTGGGTTATGTACAGAGCAGATCCACAAATGTTGGAGGGAATCTGTTCCTATCCTGCCACAGGCTATAAAGTTGTAGAGGTTGAAAATGACTGACTGAATTAGTGAAGTCTCAGGGTCAAAAGTGGCCCTTCCAGTGTTTCCTTTGTTCTTTTATTCATTGGCCATTGCTGTGAAAAGTACATACTTGCTTCAAGCCAAACTCCTCTTACATAAAACCCGAGTCCCCACTGCACATTGTGCAGAAAGACCTTGAGAGGCAGCATGTTCTGAACACCAAGGGTACTGTCTAGCAAGCTGGGAAGAACAGGCTTTATTCCCGCCTCCGTACTGTCCTGCCTGTTGACTTCGGGCATATTGTGTTCTCTCTTTTTCTCCTTCAACTTTTGCTTTGTATAATTGTATTAAGGTTTTCAGCATAAGGAGATTCTCTCCTTTCTGTATGTGTTGCATGGCATGAAATGAGGTCTTTAAAGATGCTACTTTATTATAAACAGCGAGTGATGCCTTGAGGCCAAGAAGATCCCAGTGGTGTTTAAAATACATCTGTCCCAGCTCAGATAATGGCTTACTCCATCTAAATTTCACCTGCATTCCATATATGCGCATAAGTTACATACCTATGTCAGTCAGAATTCGTAACTTCGGCTGAGAAAAATGCCTCCTCTTAGAAAATCAAAGAAAAAAAAAATGTGCACCCAAATCAAAATGGCAAAAGATTACTTTCTCTTTTTATGGTCTTGCAAAACAATTTTTTGTGTCAAAGAATTTATTTCCCATTAGAAGACCACAGGCTTTACAGTTCTGTTCTTTAAGAAAAAAAATTGCTTCAGCCACCTTGCAGGATATCTCCTTCTGTTGCTTTCAAAAGCAGTTGCAGGAAAAGAGACTGTAAGCTATAGCTCATTTCTACCTTTTTTTTTTCTGTCCTCAGAGCTGAAACACCCTGAAAAAATTGTGAGCTGGAAGAATTTCTGAGTATGAAATTCTGTATTGTTGTGTGCAGACTTGCTAGATAAACTTTCCTTGCTTTCTAGACTTATTATTTTGCTCAAGATTTTGTTTTTAATGCCTTTGGGTGTGGATTTATAGTTCACTTACTTTAATTATTAACCACATTCTCTGGAGGAACTACACAGAGCTATAATACAGTTTTCCGAATGTTGTGCTATCTCTTTACAAATTAACGTATTTTTATTTTAAGGACTAAAAATGAGAATGTGTTTGCAGTTTCACAGTTTGTTTGTAGGTCTACTAACCCAAAAGTGTGAAGCAACGGGGGTCCCTTAAGGAACATAGAACTTTTACGTTCCTTTTGTTTCATTTTCCTATGGTACCTTTTCAGCTGACATCTCAAACCTGAGCCTGTCACCATCTTGGAATAGAGTGGGTTTATTTTCTATTCATGGTGGCTGAACCCATTCTCTCAATACCATTGTCCCTCTATTTGGAGAATTTAAAGTCTATGTCTATGCCATTTTTGTGGACTGCTCTGCAGAGAAGAACCATGCCACCAGCCATTTGGCCTGGAGGGGCCACATCTTCCTGCAAAGCATTTGAGTCCTTCTCCCCTCGGTCCAATGCAGCACCCCTTGGCCATGAGACTTAATTGGGTTTCCTGGTTTTTCAGTCCCGGGTGTACATTGGAATGAGAGATTTGTGTTGCCAACTGCAAGAGTGGTGTTTTTATATCGTGATGCTGACTGTGTGCATTGCATGGCATGAGGTGCTTGAAGGTGTGAGGCCTCCTGGGACTGTTTGAAATGAAGTCGGTGAAGACCATACACCTCCTTGTCTATCTGATGGAGATCTTTGGAGCAAACTGTCCTGACAACTGTTCTTAGGTTTCCTCTCGTAGGGAAATAGTTGGCTAATTCCAAAAAGAAGACTGGCATACGCATACGGTGTGGGCGACTAGGGACCACTGCATGAAAATAGGGAGCAAGGCAGACTGACGCTGTGGACACAGACTTCTCTCTCTCCTCTTTCAGCACTACTTAAACCTCTTTCCAAGGACTCCTATTTCTTTGAAATTACAGCCTGAATAATGAAATCAGCTTATCTCAAACTTGTTCCATTTTAGGCAAAAAACCTCATGAGATTGGGCCATAAAATTCCTGGACTGTGGAATCTAATCCAATTCAGAGCCCTGATTTGGTTATGAACTACAAGCCAGTTCCTAATCCAGCTTCAAACATTACCTGCTGAGTGTCCCTGTAATATAAATAGGGAAAGTTACTGTCGATGAATTTGCCCATAAATCCCAGTAGCCCTAACACTATTTCTGAAATTGCAGGTATTGGTTCTAAATTTATTGGTTGTGCTCCTCCACACGTACTCGTCATAGCAGAGAAGATGCATCTGAGTTTGTAAAAGTATTACTCTGTTCCAAACAGGTTCAAATTTTGCATTTCTTCTCCAACCACAGCAATGACAGATTTTATTACTCATATTTATATATATATGTGACATTATGTATATAAAATATATATATATTTGACATTTGACCATATGACAGTTAAAGGGTTTCATGTGTGTACCCAGTTTACGTGCCTTAAAAACAGTCATGGTTGTGAACTAATAAAAATGTATTTACACATCCAAAGCAGGCATTGCTTCAGACTCTTTAGCTTTTCTCTTGAATCCATTTATAATTCACCACTGTTGAGTCATTTCTGTTCACCTTGAACACATCTGTCCATGTTTACAATTACTACATTCCTTTTCTGGCAAATCAGAATCATCCTGAGAATCATAAAAGCAAGAACAAAAAAGAAATTCGACCGCGGCTTCTGTGTCAAATCAGGAACACATGGAGCAACCCAGCTGCTTGCTGGGAAGTTTACAGAACAAAATGTTGTCGTAGAAAATGAAGATTTGTCAAATTTATCAAATTGCTGATTTGAAATATGTTGCTTTTTATAAGTTTCTGATAAAATATCGGTTTGTTCCTGTCCAAATCTCTGTCATCTTACTTTTTGGGTTGCTAGGAAACCCCCTTACAAGGATGTGCAGCTGAAGGACAAAATTTCCTCCTTCCCTTACCTCTTTTCCACAACATAGAAAGACTGAAAGAAGACATGTCCATGAGCTGCCCTGGAGGCAATCCTTATTTTTAGACAAGGCTGAACATACAAGGGCAAACTTTAGACTAACTCTGGTAAATTCTGAACAGTGTCACAAACAAATGCTTCTGTAACTTTGTTAAAACCTACTTCAATTTTGTGCCAGTAGAGGTGATTTTGTCTTGAGGTTCTTCACCTCACGTGAGAAGGAAAATTCAATTTCACCATAAACTTTCTTAAAATTTTGCAATTAAGCTTGAAAAATCTTTGGCTGTGGTTTGGGAATAAAAGCAGGTTTGTGTAATGAAACCCCCAGATGAGTTAAATAATGCCACTTGTTCATTTTGCAGTGATTTCAAAGCATTATGCTGGTGGAGAATAGGTTTGATATTACCTGGTAATTTTCATTTCATTCTTTTAATAGTGGTGGTGTGTTCAGAAATTCTTTAGGTCATAGTATCACTCTCCTCCTGCTTTACTTGGCAATGGTCTGTATTCTTCAGCTGTTAAAATTATGAGGTCAAAGTTTAATCTTTCATTACCATGAAGAAATTGAATTATTGCTGAGAAAAACAGAAGGTCAGTGATACTATTAGTATCATAATACAAACGGTGTTCATACCAAGTTCAAATGCATTTTCTTAAGGGGAGAAAAAAAAAAAAGCAAGCTACTCTAAAAGAGCCAAGGTGTTGTACTTTGGTTTGCTGCTGGAATCCTCCTCCTCTAAAATCACTTTCCTACAATGGCTGTTTCCAAGCAGGCATCTGTAAACTCCCAACTGATACCTGCCCTCTCCTGGCATGATATGTCTTCTTTAATTTTTCTGCAGTTTGTCCTGCTTCTGTGCACTCTCTTTTTGTCTGGAGTGTGGTAGGCAATTATTGCTAACTGGAATACTCGGAAACATCACAGGAGATGAGAAAGTGTCAGAGAATAACCGGAGTGCCACCCTCCATTCTGAGAGAGAAAGGAATTGTTTGTATTATAATACTGTATTTTCAGTAAAAGTTGAATTCTAATTTTTTTTCTAGTTTAGATTCAAAGTGGATTGTTGTGTACTTTAAGTTTTATTGCTTTCATGATACTTTCTAGTCGAATTTGATATTGGGGAAAGTTTTTGAATGTACGTGAACTTAACTGCTGGTTGTGATAGCAGGGATCTCAAGGAGACCAGAGGAATGACCATTCAGTCCCTGAACGCAGCGGTTCACAAATCGAAGAGGAAGCACGGGTTGAACCCATCAAGAAATCCCAGCATCGCTCTTCCTCAAGCCAGCACCACAACCATCGCAGTGGTGTTAGAGGCCTTTCTAGGCAAGAAACTTTTGACTCAGAAACACAAGACAGCAGAGATTCGGCCTACGTAGAGCCAAAGGAGGACTACTCACATGAGCACGGTGACCACTATGATTCTCACAGGGATCACAATCATAGAGACGAGTCCCACGGGAGCAGTGATCACAGACATAGAGAATCAAGGCATCGCTCAAAGGAGAGGGACCGCGAGCAGGACCACAATGAATGCAACAAACAGCATAGTCGTCATAAATCAAGGGACCAATATTGTGACAAGGATGGGGAAGTGATATCGAAAAAAAGAAACGACACAGGAGGATGGAACAGGGATGTTTACATCCGTCAGTAACTTTTGCCTCTGGCAGTCTTGTGTTTCTCTGAAGTCTTGTAACAATGTCCCCTGAAAATATCTTTGGGTTCTTCACTGCAGAACGTATGGTATCTTTCTGTATGCCGATTTGTACTGCTGTTGCTTGCATAGCAATAGCATGAAATAGAATATTCATATACTTATTTTTTTGGTTAGTGCTATATGAATTAGCGTAGTACAACTGCAGGGTTCCTGATGTTGTACTATGCCATTTTTCAAGCTGTTTTTTGGTAGCTGCCACTTGAACAATATCTGTTGCCATCAAGGTGTTGTTAGTGTTTTTTAAGACAAGGTACATTTGATGTTTAATAACTTCCCATGTATTCGGCAAGCCAGAATCAGCACATAAAAAAAACCCTAAAATTTTTTGTCTGCTCTGATTTTTAATTTGTATGCACTTGATTTGCATATTGATTTAAGAGCCACTGTCTGTTGCTTGTACCTCTGGTGGACTCCATTTGAAGACGGAATTCAGTCTTGCCTTACACACAGGGGATCATAAAGTCCAAATCTATTTTCTATGTACTGGTACTGTGTACTGTATATACAGTTTATAAATGTTATTTCTGCAGACACCTTCTTACTATATAAGTTTGATCACACTGTTTTAGAGTCCTAATGCCAAGTCAGCAGATTTGCTTTTGAATTACTGGCAACTGGAACTAGCCTCATTTAGGAAATCTGTAACAGTGTTCAACCTAATACTTTTTCTTCTGTAGCAGAAAGCTTATACTTACTGTAAATACGAATGAGCGCTTGAGATAAAGGGTCTAACTCTTCTACCTTACGCTGTCCTTGCAAACCCGATTTTGCATTTTGAATTGATGGTAAAGGTAACGAACTTACCACTATAAATTATTCTTCTCTGTACAGGTCACGAAAATGCAATGGGCACAGCTTAATTTTTGTTCTATTGCCAGAATAATAGAGCACACGTGACAGAGGTGTGTATGTGAGTGGGTGGGTGGTGGATGCGTACGTGTGTATGTGCACGTTAGGCAGCAAAGTGTGAGAATCTACTGAAGAAAACAAAGGTTACTCAAAAGCCCAACAAGTCTGTTTCTTCATTCTATCTATTAATTTAAAAATCCAAATTGCAGTCAGGGAATATGAGGGAGTTTACTGACCCAGGTAATTGAGAAAGCATAAATCTGCTGGCTCTTTGTTGAGACTTCAGGAGAGTAAAAACAGGCAACTGTTACTGTGAGTGTTTCACTGGAAATGTAAAATCTCTGTGTTTTAGAGTATTTGTTTTAGTAAGAAAAGTTTACACAGCTTGTGGAGAGTTATTTTGTTGGAAAATAAATTTTTGTAGCTTCTCCACTTTTTCTACACTTGCCAATTCCTCTGCATTCCCACTTGGCAGCCAGCTCACTGCTTTTCCTTCACCTAAACTCTTGTGCTGCTGGTGAGAGCTTAGAAAAATGACTGTGACAAAATACTCTGTTAGGAGCTTGCTAGAGAAAATGCATTGACATCAAAGGGAGTGAACACAGTTTGTTTTGCACTGAACACCTGTTGCACTGGTAAGTGGGGGGAAATTCACTATTATTTTTGACTACAGGTTCCATACCCTTGCCTAGTGTAAAAGCTGTTCTGCACCACGTATAGTCTTTGTACTAATTGTATGAATGAAATACTTTTTGTATTTCACTGTAAATAGCACGTTATATAAAGACTGTAGTGGGATAATAATTAATTTAGCTGGAAGTTCTTTTTATTTATTGTTTTAGTTCTGGGAATATCAGCATTGCCTGATTTTGAGTATCATTTTAGTGAAATGGGTAAGGTATATGGCAGGTGCATGTTTTCTCCCATCTCCTATTCCAGCATCTAAGCAATTCAGTTTAACTCCCTTAAACAAAATCTGTCCTCCCTTTCCCTCTTCTGCCCCTCTCCTTGATGCTTTATATGCATTTTTTTACAACAATGTGAAAGAGTGAAATTCTGCTGTCAGGTATCTGGCCATTCCTCCCAGTACTGCTGAGTATTGTGGTTATTCAGGTGGCTTATTTGGCTTATTCAAGCCAAATATTCAAGTATTTGGCTCAAAGCGTGAACTGTGGAAAACACAAGGAAAAGGGTATCTTTCTAGAAATAAAATTCTCAGCATTTTTCTAAACATCACTCAAGGACTTTGTAGACAAAGGAAGCATAGGTAAGTAGATCTATGGATATATGAGAGTATATAAACAGTGACTTTTGATATGAAGGGATTTTCAGGATATTACTGGAAAATGGCATTGAAAGACTGTGTTGTTTGAATCATATCAGATCACATGTAAATGGGAAGAGTAAATGGAAGAGGAGTTATATTGTCTTGCTCTGTATAGCCTGGCTTTAGCTATTTTACCAGCTTCAGTAAATGCTGTTGTCCCTACAGCTGTTATATGACAGCTGTGTCCTCCAAGTGATCTGTGGATTCCACTCCAATACCTTGAATTTTTTTGTTCCTTTTTTTTTTTTAACTTTTGCTCCACAGATTGTTTATTTTCCACTTTTTTTAAAGTATTTTTAAAGGAATGTTTGGCAGAATTTCAAAGCTCTGAGTAGTGTATGAAAACCATGGAGTAGGTAGCCATGTATAGACAAATAAATGAGAAAATAAAGAGCATAGCCCAAGCCCTAGTATTTAAGTGTGGCCTTTATGGAATATAAATAGCTTGTCACAAAAAAAAAGGCATGTCCCAATCAAACTAACGAGAGAATTATGTTTTGTATAGTGCTGCTAATTACGTACAGACAACATACTAACAAACACATGCATTTCTTCGGCAGACTCACTCAGTAGGTTTTTTATTAGCCTTGCTAAGACACTTTCCTTCAGTTATTGTTTTAAGAGTGAAAAATCATTTCTAATGTGAGCTTGTAGTACAAATACTGCACAATACCACCTGCCTGCTGAGCACTACTTTGAAAAGCACTTTAACAGAATTATTTCAATAAGAAGCTTTAAAAATACTCCCAACTGGAGGACATATCAAAGGTTATTGTGATGAAACGTCTTTGCAAAGTTTTGCCAATAGAAAGTTTAATATTATTGTCTGCATTAGGATACTAATGAGTTCGTATTTCTGTATCTGGTTTCAGGAGCTTTGAATCTGAGGAATGGTAGAGGTCCCAGTGAGCTCCAGAGTCTTCTTATGTATGTGTGGTACAAAATAACCTGTAAAATTTCTATTCAAATGAGCTAAATAGATAATAAATCCAGTGAGACAGAAGGGAGGAAGATAAAATAATTGATACATAGGTCTTGACAGCTCTCACTTTATATTTTTCTAAAGAATTTCAGTACATGGAAGGAATGGAGTGCATTTTAACATTTACGTGTATGTATATTAGATGTTAACCTTATTTTTGTATGTCTTTTCAAATGAATACACATCACTGCTGTTCAGCAGCCCGAGTCTATCTTTTATCAGTTGCTTAGTGTCACACAGACATCATGGAAGAAAGAATTCTCAAGGAGGGACTGCAAGGAGGTGAGAGTAACAGTCTCCAGACCTGTTAAGGGACAGGACAGTGGGGATGAATAAGCAAACAGGCTTCTGCACAAAGGCAGCATCAGTAAGAGTTAAGAGCTGAAAGAAACTATTTTTAAATTGATCCATAAATCACTGCCTGAAAATTAAAAAAAAAAAATTCTAGAATACTCATGAATTCATCTTCTGTGTCTGGCATCAGGAGTTCAGAATTTGAGAAGAGTTCCACAAGCTTTGCTTCTCAAGGTGTAAAACTAAATAGTTAGTTTCTCCTAAGGATTTGACCCTAATTAATGAAGACCGGTTTTAAAGCCACAACAAGCTTGAGTGGAGTACCCGTTTTCACAGAAATCTGTAAAGTCTTAACATATAGCCCTTATTATAAATGGAGGATAAGGAAATTAAATTCTGCTTATCAAAGCCTGAGTAGAAATAGAGACCTATTTTCACTTCTCCCTGCGTATCTGGTTACTCACCCTATACATGCAGTTCCCACCCAGGTCTAACACCCTGCCCCTTAATACTTACTGTCTTTTATGAATTTGTTAGTAATCATTATTTCTAAGCTCTGTTGGTTTCTAAAGTCATATTCACGTTCTGTGACACCTGCAGAGGCTTTAGTGTCGTCCATTACTATTCCCTTAGCTGGAATGCAGTGAGTGGTGTGACTGCTTTTAATCAGTGTCTGTCCAAAGTAAAAAGGCTAGTGTAAACCACCGCCTGTGTTCGTTGCTAAAGCCTCGTCAAGATTTATTTTGTTTTATGGTTACGTTTGACCTCTGATTGCTTTAACACATCAGGCTGAAAGCTATTTCCCAAACGCTTTTGACTTTAATTCTATTCCGTCTATGAAAATAAAGCACACTGCAAAAAACTTTATTACATAGTCTAGAGGAAGAACAGAGAAATTATTTTTCAGAGTGTAATATAACATTTCTGGTGTACATTTACTTGTATTTATTACTTTATTGCAGATCTTTCACCAAAATTTTAGTTCTTCTATCATCTGTAAAATATGTGAATGACATTTTTATTGTGAATGTTTTTAAGCAAATGCTATTCAATTGAATTTTTTGCTTTGCAATTTGTCTGTAATTTATTTCCCCACTTTTATATAACAAACCATTACATATGAGCTTACGGTAGTTTTATAGACAGTTTCTTTTTATAACTTACCACCCTAGAGATGTGTTCCTACGCAGCCCCAAAAAAGATTTATATCAGATATAATAGAGATTAAGCTGGTTCTTCTAACTCATCTGTGTTCTCTTTTCTTACTCTATTCTTGCCACTTTTATCTATCTTGCTTACCTACTCCGCAGTGAATTCTAGCAGTACAAAATTGCATTTGCTGGTAAATTTTTTAGTCATGAACAATTTAAAGAACCACCTTTTTATGTTTAACTACCCACTCCGAAGTAATTTCATATTGATCACCACCACCAGCCTATTTCTTACTAAAATACTCTTTTCCTTAAAAAGCATATGAAATCCTATGATCTAAAAATTGGTGGACTCCATGACACTGAAACAGGAAAAAGCTGTATAATAATTTCATACTATAATAGGCTGCATATTTTAATACCTTTATATTGACCAAGAATAAATATTTAGATTTGGCACTATTACTGATCACTATTTCTGCAAATAGAGAAAACTACTTTTCAGACTTTCTTAAAGACAGGATCTGACTGCATGCCTAATCTATCTATTTTGTAGGGTTAATCTTTCATTACAATGACAACAACTTTTTTAAATTTAATATCTAAATATCTCATATAGTATATATATAAATACATATATATTCAGTTGTGCTTCAGCACCAAACACTGAAGCATAATGATTCAGTGTGTAAAGCATTCTTATCAGGAAAGTAAT